ACACAGCCCCACACCCCGTGACACAGCCCCACACACCCTGTGACAGCCCCACACACCCTGTGACAGTCCCACACACCCTGTGACAGCCCCACACACCCCGTGACACAGCCCCACACACCCTGTGACAGCCCCACACACCCTGTGACAGCCCCACACACCCTGTGACACAGCCCCACACACCCTGTGACACAGCCCCACACCCCGTGACACAGCCCCACACACCCTGTGACACAGCCCCACACCCCGTGACACAGCCCCACACACCCTGTGACACAGCCCCACACCCCGTGACACAGCCCCACACACCCTGTGACACAGCCCCACACCCCGTGACACAGCCCCACACCCTGTGACACAGCCCCACACACCCTGTGACACCCGGCTGGACCACCACGTGCAACCTTCCCGTGATAAACCAGACAAATTTTTACCTACAGGAAATCCTCTATTGGCTTTAATTCATCCGGAGTGAGTTTGTGCTGCCTGTCACACTGTCCTCCCACCACCACCACTACTACCACTACCACGATCACCACCACCACCACCACGATCACCACCACTACCACAACCACCACTACCACTACCACTACCACCACCACTACCACCACCACCACCACCACCACCACCACCACTACAACCACCAACACTAAATCCACCACCACCACTACCCTTACTACTACCACCACTACCATTACTACTACCACCACCACCACTACAACTGTTAGAAATTTTCCAACATTAATACATCATCCTTGTATTATAATACATCATTATTGTATTAACCCAGAGTAATTACTAATAAGACTAACACGTAGAATTAACAGCGTTAGTGTTTCCATAGTAAGGCATAATTTAGCCAGAAAATTCCCAGCCGTCATGACGCCACGCGTCGACTGCAGCTTAAACATGACGTCTCCCACACATGTTGGTGAAGTATAGAGTTCAGTTAATTACTCTTTCCTTCTAAAATTATAGTTCTTTATGAAGGAAATAACCATTTTGCATGCTTATGTGTACTGAGCTCGGGTATTTAAACAAATTAATTATTCCAGTAAAATATTACTGTGGCGTGAAGTACAAACATGTCAACCCTTCTCGTTCAATTTGTGCAATGTTAATTAGATCAATTGCCTTACGAGAAAAGGTATTATTACCCAATATATATATTGTTGATTATAGTTTAAATTGTACTCCTTCCGTTTCCCAAATAATTAATAATAAACCGAAATGGTTTACGTCCGGGATCGCTGTGAGCGTCTCTGCGCATGCGGGACCGAGCGTGGCGGGAGGGAGGAGGCGGATTCCAGCACAAGGCGTCGTGGGGTACACACGTGCCTCCACAGACGACAGCCATTTAATATAATCACGTGATCTACAGTACTCAACTGTTTAATTACGCGTCAACAAAAATAGTCACGGCCCGTAATCACACGTAAACAACAGTGAACGTCAGGGACTGGCAGACGCGATATCGGCAGCCCTTAGTGTCACGCTCACGTCAAGTATACTCTTCTAGTTTGATGCATCATTGAAGATTGTGTATTTATGGGTAGTCTGTCATTAAGTTACGAGAAGACCAATAATACAATGTTAGTTGATTCTCCTTTTTAATTCCAATCTCAGTGAATATTGGAATAATTTATAGCCTAATCAAATGCTACTCAAATTTCCGTGATTGCAGCGTGTAGACGAGGATGTACCAAGTTTATTCCTTCACCTACGATGTTCATCACTGGTGTTTCTTCCTTATTGGGACCTTGTGATCACGACGACGAGTAACGAAACGGACTTAGTGACGTCGTCTTACAGCTAAGACAAATATTGTTTCGTAGAAATTTGATTAATGCTAGTAGTAATTTCTCCGTTTCCACATATGTAATGGTCAAGAGGAATAATATGATGCAATAATTTACTGCTCAGTACTCAATAAGTTTGCATTTATTATTTCTTAGGATTTAATAATCTTTCAATATATTGATCTTTTAATATTTCATGATTTCTGAATCTACATTCTAGTTCAGATCTTGCCATTTTACTAACCCTTTAATGAACTAGTGACGAACCACACTGGTTCCTAGATATAAATGAACTTCTAGAAATAACCCCCCCCCCCCAATGTTGATATTTGAGGCTTTTAACTTTAATCAATTAATAATACAGTCAATTCATTTTCTTTAAGTGATTGTTAAATAATTTAACATACATAGGCACTGGTTCTATAGTGTCAGTCTTATAATCACTTTTATTTGTTTTCCCTCTTTTCTCAAAAGTGGGTGGTCCTTCGATTTATATTAATTCTCATAATTAAATAATTCTATATTTGAGTCAAAGCCCCAGATACCGAACAACAACCACCACCACTACAACCACCACCACCACTACAACCACCACCACCACAACCACCACCACTACAACCACCATCAACACCACCACCACCATTAGCAACACAGAGGTGGACAAATGCCTGGGGAAACTAGATATGACAAAATTAAAATCCAGCTGTGTCACTACCCGAGTGAGTGAGCTCACACGTGACAATGTTTACAGATGATCAAAGCTGATGAACAACGTTAAACAGATTAGGACTTGAGAAAGTTAGAGCAGGACCTTGACAAACTCCAGGAGTGGTCACAAAAAAGGATTGCTGTAATTCAATCCCGGTCACCCCCTCCCCCCCCACCCCCCCACCCCCCCCACACACACACAGCTACCACACCTACAAGAGAGTTGGACATCAGTTAACGTAGTCCCAATCTACAGGGAATAAGCAGAAGGCCCTAAACAACAGGCCGGTGTCCTTAACGTGTATACCATGCAAGGTGATGGAGAAGATGGTGAGAGAAAGCCTGGTAGCACATCTGGAGAGAAGAGACGTTGTAACTCGTCAGCAGCATGGCTTCGTGGAAGGCAAGTCGTGTCTCACAGGTTTAATATAATTCTATGACCAAGCAACAGGCATTAAGCAAGAAAGAGAAGGATGGACAAACTACACTTTCTTGGACTGTCAGAAAGCTTTTGACACAGTACGCCATAAGAGACTGCTGCATAAGTTGGAAGAACAAGCTGGAGTAAGTGGTAGGGTGCCCCAATGGATAAGGGAGTACCTAAACAACAGGAAGCAGAGAGTTACTGTGAGGGGTGAGACCTCAAACTGGCGTGTTGTCACCAGCGGAGTCCCGTAGGGTTCTGTACTCGGACCTATCCTGTTTCTGATATACGTGAATGAACTTCCAGGAAATATACTCATTCCTCTCAATGTTTGCTGATGATGCTAAAATTATGAGAAAGATTAAGACAGTTGAGGACAGCAAGAGGTTACAGGCTGACCTGGACAGACTTAATGAATGGTCCAACAAATGGCTACTAGAATTTAGCTCGAGGAAGTGTAAAGTGATGACGATAAGCGTAGGGAGCAGGAGGCCAAACACAAGGTACCAGCTGGGAGATGAAATCCTTCAGAAGTCAGAACGAGAGAAAGATCTGGGAGTTGATATCACACCAGTCCCTTGCAGCCCACATCAAAATTATAACATCAGCGGCTCATGCAAGGCTGGCGAACATAAGAACTGCATTCAGAAACTTGTGTAAGGAATCATTCAAAACCTTGTATATCTCATATGTCAGACCAATACTGGAATATGCGGCTCCAGCCTGAAGTCCACATCTTGCCAAACACAAAACGAGGTTTGAAAAGGTTCACAAGTATGCCACAAGGCTAGTTCCAAAGCTGAGAGGAATGAGCTATGAGGAAAGATTATTAGAACTGAAATTCATGACACTGGAAGACAAAAGAGTAAGGGGAGACATGATCAATACCAACAAAATTCTCAGAGGAATTGACAGGGTTCATAAAGATAAACTGTTTAACACGGGTGGTACGCGAACAAGGAAGCACAGGTGGAGACTGAGTACCCAAATGAGCCACAGGGACGTTAAAAAGAACATTTTCAGTGTCAGAGTAGTTAACAGATGGAATGCATTAGGAAGTGATGTGGTGGAGGCTGACTCCATACACAGTTTCAAATGTAGATATGATAGAGTCCAGTAAGCTCAGGAACCTGTACACCAGTTGATTGACAGTTGAGAGGCGGGACCAAAGAGTCAGAGCTCAACCCCCGCAAGCACAACTAGATGAATCCACACATGAAGCTACAGCTACCCCCCCCCCCAACACACACACACACACACACACACACACAGAGGAAGCGAGCTACACATACAACACTAACGCACAACCATTCATCGCAACAACACAATGAGAACTGCCTGAGTCATCGGTCACTCCCATTCCATCACCCCCCCCTCCCCCCTCCTTCCGTCAACCCAACCACCACCATACATGATCTGGGAAAATATATTTCCGCCCCATAATATCAAAGTAATATCCATATCTATGAGAGGATATTTGCAGTTTACCTGTCCAAGGTTGGAGGCCAGAGGCTTGGGGATAGACTAGCCCATTTTTGCAGGGGAATTGATCTCAGGGACGGTACGGACATAGGCTAGTCGTGGTCGGCCTAAGTAAAATATTTTACGAATTATTAGCATTTACAGGAACCGTCCACCTCCCCCCCCCCCCATGCATTTTCATGAAGTGTGAAATATTTGGTTTGTTTTCCCCTAGTGTGTTTTTTTGTGAACGTAATATCATATTTTCTGAGAGCCCCATATAGTTATTTCAGTACTTAATAATAAATTTTATGAGAGAAGGGAGGAGGAAGAGGGGAGCAACCATCTAATCCAGCAAAAACAGCAGCACAATTAAGTAATTGGTAATCTAGTCTTCTGTTTTACTTCTCTCTGAGGGTCGTTGGCCTACTGGTGGAGGGTTCCCCACTCCCTTCTGAGTAGGGGCATGTGACTTCCCCATTCCCCTCCCTCTCCTTGTACGTCTTCTTTACTTCTGCAACCTTTGTCGTCATCTCCCCCTACAAAAGACATTCTATATCCAGTTACATGCAGAAGTTTGTTCTTGAATAAGATTTCGGTTTGGTGTCCAGCGCGGTAGTGGTCCAGCAGATAGTGGTCCAGCAGATAGTGGTCCAGCAGATAGTGGTCCAATAGGTAGTGGTCCAGCAGATAGTGGTCCAGCAGATAGTGGTCCAGCAGATAGTGGTCCAGCAGATAGTGGTCCAGCAGATAGTGGTCCAATAGGTAGTGGTCCAGCAGATAGTGGTCCAGCAGATAGTGGTCCAATAGGTAGTGGTCCAGCAGATAGTGGTCCTACAGGTAGTGGTCCAATAGGTAGTGGTCCAGCGCGGTAGTGGTCCAGCAGGTAGTGGTCCTACAGGTAGTGGTCCTACAGGTAGTGGTCCAGCAGATAGTGGTCCTACAGGTAGTGGTCCAATAGGTAGTGGTCCAGCGCGGTAGTGGTCCAGCAGGTAGTGGTCCAGCAGGTAATGGTCCAGCGCGGTAGAGGTCCTACAGGTAGTGGTCCAGCAGGTAGTGGTCCTACAGGTAGTGGTCCAGCAGGTAGTGGTCCTACAGGTCGTGGTCCAGCAGGTAGTGGTCCTACAGGTAGTGGTCCAGCAGGTAGTGGCGCACGAGCCAGACTGTGGGCCACCTTGGTGTCGTGCACCATAATGGTCCAGTGGGGAGTGACCAACCACCAACAATACCACCGCTGCTGACACTCAAGTTGACCTGATGCAGTGATGACTGACAGCGACCCAAGATGCCCTCACCTCACCAGGCATCATGGTGTGGCACGGTGAAGACCACCCTGGCACTGGAGAGCTGACGACGACGCTAGCCTCACAAGGGTCACTGGGAAGACTCTAGGCTAGAGACGTGGCACTACTGCCACCTGAACGCTGCCACACACACTCTCCACCACAATGGATACGTGGCCAAAGTGCCATCTAAAGGATTAAACAATCACCAGGAATTTCACACACTGGAGACTAGACAACGGCCAGCAGCAGGGTTGCCACATGCGGGAAACCTGACAAAGCTGTTAATTACAGTGTTAAAACTCACCGGGAGTTGGCTTGGCGAGCTGGCATCAGTGTAGGGGCGAGCACGCCTCCTCACTGCTTCTCTCTAACTCACCTCTGAAAGAATAAAATAATTGGTGTCAAACTTTTTCATCGGACTGAGAGCTATTGTGTTTGTGTTTTCTACGTGTGTTTGCAAGGCGAACATCAGCTCTTGGACCCCGCCTTTCAGTCGCCAGTCGCTTGTTGCAAGGGCTAGAGAGCCTCTTAACTATTATTATTATTATTATACCTACCTTTTAAGCTATGGGCTTAACCTTTACTACTTCCTCTTCTTGCTCATTCCACTTGCTCACTACACTGACACGGAAGAAGTGCTGGCTTACATCAACATGACTCATCTGTGATTTCAAGTGTCCACCCGTATCTCTTCCTTGTGCCTCTATGAACCTCGTATCTCTTCCTTGTGCCTCTATGAACCTCGTATCTCTTCCTTGTGCCTCTATGAACCTCGTATCTCTTCCTTGTGCCTCTATGAACCTCGTATCTCTTCCTTGTGCCTCTATGAACCTCGTATCTCTTCCTTGTGCCTCTATGAACCTCGTAAGTTATGAGCATCTGGCGTTTGGTCCTTTCATTTAGCCGAGTAGCGAGGTCCAGTTCCCTCAGGTTTACCTCATGCCTCACGCCTCAGCTCCGGCCACTTGTAGGAAACCTCTCGAGTATGTCTAGCTTTATTTTGTGTATTTTTTAGGTAAAGATTTCAGAATGGGCTTCTTGTAGTACTCGTGTAGGACATGTAGTTTACATCGTCCTGAAGACTTGTCCAGGTTTTTGTGAATGTCACGAATGTTGTCCTGTTGATGTAAAGCTCTCGTGACAGATTAGGAGTTATGTCTACACTTTTCTCTCCTTACTGAAGCAGTAGTCTTCTCATTACCTTGCACTTGCCGGTATTGAAGTCATGTAACTATTTATCAGACCAGCCCTCTAGTTTATCCACGCCGTTCTCTCGTATATTGTCATAATCTTCCTCTGTTGTGATTCATCACTCTACCATCCTCCACACAAGTTAACATGTTTGGATTCTACTTCCTCAGTTAAGTCCTGGATGATCACTGTTATCGTGCCACAGACCTCTAGCAGGTTTCAGAGACAACATTTCCCTTTTACAAGCACATATTCATGTTCATTTTTAAAGTTGTCAATTCTAGGTGTTCCACTAGCCGCCTCTTGAAGACTTTGTCAAGACTACAGGGTAAACAAGTCAACGACACAGGCTTGCAGTTCATAGCCTCCAGTCATATTCCAGGTGTGTGGTATGACTCCACTCTTCTGTGAGAGAGACACTGTAGAGCAGCGTATGGTCTCTGGTCAGAGCCTCTGCAGCACTCATAAGAGGAAACGTTACCTAGTCTTACGGCCTCTGATAACTCCAGAGCCTCATGCTGTTCCCTCACGTCCTCAACCATAACTCACTATTGTGGGTTAGTTCTTATATCACTAACAACTCTCTTTGACCTGACCAGGATTCGAACCCTCGCCGCCCAGGATCACCTCCAAGTGTACTGTAACCATCTCACCAATGATCGTCTATATAAAGTTTGGTTAGTCCTAAAGCTTTTTACGGGCTATTTATGCCCATGCCATCTCTTGGGTGGCTTAATCTTTAATCAATCTAAACCTTCTTCTTCTTCCCCAGTACGGGCTCACCATAGCCCGTGCTACTTGAAACTTTTGTTTCGAGTATCTGAATCTAAAACCACAACAACCTAAAGCTTTTCCACAACCAAAGATCACATTCACTCCAAAAAAATCTACCACTTACGGGCTATTCATGCCCGTGCCATCTCTGGGTGGCTTAACCTTCATCACTTAATCAATCTGGAACTTATTATTACCTAAGCTCCATGACTAACCAGCCCCCGACGACACTCGTGGTGTAATTTATTTAAAAATGCTCATACAATGCTGTTGATATGCAGAAGCCTCACTGGACCTATAATTGTAACACAAAGGCTACGTGAACCCGCGAGCCGTAAATCACTGTGAACCCCTCACAGTTGAGGCAACTCCTCTAGCATTACTGTGACGTGAACACATTTGTGAAGAGTGTGGAGGCTCTGATGCCTGGCCTTCCTGCCCCTGAAGACGGTCTCCCCGTTATGTGCCAGGTCTGCCTCTCCTGACCTGCTCCCTCCTTCATCCAAACACCCCCCTTATGTACTCCATGTTTCCTCCCCTTAATGTATACTCCCCTATTCACCCCTTGTACCTCTTATGTACTCCACTCTTCATATCTTCCTCCCCTTCGTATATTTTCTTCCCCTTTACCTTTCTCCCCGTCTTCCTCACCCCTCTCCCCCCTCGCCGCCCCCTCCCCCCTCCCTCTCACCAGGGCCAGGTAAGGGCAGCGGCCCTCCAGGTGCGACGCCACAGACGTATGATAATGGATACCTTTGTGTAGTGGCAGGCGGGGTGGGCAGGGCCAGGGGAGGGGGCGAGTTAGAGGGGAAGGGGAAGGGGAAAGAGAGGGAGAGGGAAAGAGGGAGAGGATTGGGGAGAAGGAGGAGCTGGCGAGGCAGTGGAAGAGTTAAGCAATTCCAGCCATCACCTGTGACACTGTAGCCTCCCGGCCACCTCCACCCAACAATTTCCTCCTAACCTACCAGTCTGCTACCTTCCCCCCCCCCCCCACCCCCACCCCAACCCCCACCTTCCTTCCCTCCTTCCTTCCTTCAAACTGTTGTGGCTGTGTTGTGGCCGTGTTGTGGCTGTGTTGTGGCTGTGTTGTGGCTGTGTTGTGGCTGTGTTGTGGCCGTGTTGTGGCTGTGTTGTGGCTGTGTTGTGGCCGTGTTGTGGCTGTGTTGTGGCCGTGTTGTGGCCGTGTTGTGGCTGTGTTGTGGCCGTGTTGTGGCCGTGTTGTGGCCGTGTTGTGGCTGTGTTGTGGCTGTGTTGTGGCCGTGTTGTGGCTGTGCTGTTACTGTGTTAACTGAGGGTGTATTGTAGTTTTGCATGTTAGTTTTCTTTTTAAGGTGTGTAGTGGCGCTGGAGAACATTGGAGACGCAGCCAGACTAGAGCCTTATAGAAGTGTTGTATGTGTGTACTGAGGCTAAGGAATCTCCTCAAGATTTCTTAGGTTGTCTTTGTAAAATATAGCGCTAAGAAGAGCAGCAGAACACCGTCCAACATATGATCAAACAATGTAGGAGCTCCATCAACTTAACACCAGACTACAGCACCAAGCCATCAGGGTGTGGAACACCAGTTGGTAGAGGACCCAATGTTAGAAAGATGACAGCAAACATTACTCCCAGATGAGACGCCTCGCTCCCACAGCTGGTGGCGTAATACAATAATTCCCACAATACATAACTTCCAGATGAAATACCCACCAGAAATCTTCCTCCTCTCTTAAAAATAAATAAAAAAGATAAAAAAGATAAATTAAATAATAATAATAAAATAAAGACCATTAAACAGAACATCACAGTATGTGTGAAAGCATCTGAGTGCTTATACATGAATTCGACACAGTATTCCGGTACGGACATCCATTTATGCCAAACCGTCCTCGACTCAAGTCCATTGCATCCAGCGGTCGACCCCACTGACGCAGTCATAAATTTGTACATCCTGTTCATTCAAAACGGGAATTTTCTCACGTATAAATTAATATTATAATATATTAGCATATTGTGTATATATAGGCATAGGATAGGTTAGGTTAGGTGTTTAGGTTCTGTTGGCGATTATTTGTATTTGTAGTACGTGGGTGAAGCATTTATAGCGTTGCGATTCGAACAAAATTCGTCAGTGAAGCACTTGTTCCGGATATGTTCGAACGTCAGCAGTTGTGAGTCGTGTGTAAACCGTTTTTCATTCATAAACAGGGGGTTTGGCGGGTGCATGGAATCACTTTTGGATCTATGTTTGGAGGACGGGCTGGCATATACAAGGTATTGAAGCCTTTTTCAGTCTGTGTTGAAGCCTTGCTCAGTCTGTGTTACTGTGTTCACGGTTTAAACACGGCTCACAACTGATGACGTTCGAACACTTCCGGAACAAGTGCTTCACTGACGAATTTTGTTCGAACCACAACGCTGTAAATGCTTCACCCACGTACTACAAATACAAATAATCGCCAACAGAACCTAAACACCTAACCTAACCTATGCCTATATATGCACAATGTGCTAATATATTATAATATTAATTTATATATGAGAAAATTCCCGTTTTGAATGAACAGGATGTACAAATTTATGAATGCATCGGTGGGGTCGACCGCTGGATGTAATGGACTTGAGTCGAGGACGGGTTGGCGGGTCAGATATGACGCCTTGGTGGTGGAGGTGTTTACTTGACTTGTGAGGTGATTATTGTGCACCATCACAACTGGTTAGGGATTCCCTCAAACTCCACACCACCTTCAGTAGTGACCACACCACCTTCAGTAGTGACCACACCACCTTCAGTAGTGACCACACCATCTTCAGTAGGCGGACAGGAAGGTAGGTGATTGTTGATGGTTATAAAGTGATGATTGTGGTGGCTATAGTAATAACTGTGATGATAATAGTTGTTTGGTAGTTATGTGGCGGTGGTGGTGATGAGGGCTATGGTGGTGGTGATGAGGAAGTGAGAGGTGATGGTGTTGCTGTCACTGCTGCCTGCAGCCAAGTTCTCACTTTCCTATTTCTTCATAAGTGTGGTCATTTACCCCCCCCCCCCCACCCCACCCACACACTCCCCCCCCCTCTAACACATCCTTACATCTCTGTATTATCCTCACCCCACCCCCACCCACTCAGCTGTCAGACCACTTTGTCAGCTCAGGAGAGAGACTATCCTCCTCTAATGTCTAGGGAGAGATCAGCATAAACAGAACAAAATAGCATGTTGTCTCCTCATTTGACGAGAAAAACGGTAAAGAAATTATTGATAGAATATTGGGCGTATGAGCAGCGGTAATGCCTCAACTAGTCCCTGCTGCTGCCACCAGTACACACACTGCTGCTGCCACCAGTACACACACTGCTGCTGCCACCAGTACACACACACACTGCTGCTGCCACCAGTACACACACTGCTGCTGCCACCAGTACACACACTGCTGCTGCCACCAGCACACACACACACACACTGCTGCTGCCACCAGTACACACACACACACACACACACTGCTGCTGCCACCAGTACACACACACACACTGCTGCTGCCACCAGTACACACACACACACACACTGCTGCTGCCACCAGTACACACACACACACACACACTGCTGCTGCCACCAGTACACACACACACACTGCTGCTGCCACCAGTACACACACACACACTGCTGCTGCCACCAGTACACACACACACACACACACTGCTGCTGCCACCAGGACACACACACACACACTGCTGCTGCCACCAGTACACACACACACACACACACACTGCTGCTGCCACCACTACACACACACACTGCTGCTGCCACCAGTACACACACACACACTGCTGCTGCCACCAGTACACACACACACACTGCTGCTGCCACCAGTACACACACACACACTGCTGCTGCCACCAGTACACACACACACACACACACTGCTGCTGCCACCAGTACACACACACACACTGCTGCTGCCACCAGTACACACACACACACACACTGCTGCTGCCACCAGTACACACACACACACACTGCTGCTGCTGCCACCAGTACACACACACACACACTGCTGCTGCCACCAGTACACACACACACACACTACTGCTGCCACCAGTACACACACACACACACACTGCTGCTGCCACCAGTACACACACACACACACTGCTGCTGCCACCAGTACACACACACACACACTGCTGCTGCCACCAGTACACACACACACACACTGCTGCTGCCACCAGTACACACACACACACACTGCTGCTGCCACCAGTACACACACACACACTGCTGCTGCCACCAGTACACACACACACACACTGCTGCTGCCACCAGTACACACACACACACACTGCTGCTGCCACCAGTACACACACACACACACTGCTGCTGCCACCAGTACACACACACACACACTGCTGCTGCCACCAGTACACACACACACACACTGCTGCTGCCACCAGTACACACACACACACACTGCTGCTGCCACCAGTACACACACACACACACACACACTGCTGCTGCCACCAGTACACACACACACACACTGCTGCTGCCACCAGTACACACACACACACACTGCTGCTGCCACCAGTACACACACACACACACTGCTGCTGCCACCAGTACACACACACACACACTGCTGCTGCCACCAGTACACACACACACACACTGCTGCTGCCACCAGTACACACACACACACACTGCTGCTGCCACCAGTACACACACACACACACTGCTGCTGCCACCAGTACACACACACACTACTGCTGCCACCAGTACACACACTACTGTAACACCCCATCACCCCCCCCCTCCTGACCAGTGCGGCAGCCCCTCTAACACCTCTCAGTACTCAGACCAAGTGATGAGTGGAGCCACTGCCACTCCCCGGGGCCCGGTCTCCCCCACACAGGGATGACTCCACCCGCTGGTCCAGTGCTCCTCGCGGCCTGGCCACGGCAACACGCTTCTGGAGCCCAAGGTTGTAATCGTTCTCCAGTGTCATGACACTTTACCTTAGTCAACCCTCAAGTGTGGCGCAATTTTGAGAATTTTTGGAGTCGCATTTTTAGTATATGTTATTTAAATTTAACGGTTTTCTTAGGCAGGAGTTTTCATTTCGCTTTCCAAGTACATTATGTGGTTATGATGTTATGGGAGAGAGTGAGAGAGGGTGGAGGTCGCAGTTTCCCCACCAGGAACCGTTCACTACAGTAGGCGTGGTCACCCAGCTGCCACGGGCGACCTTGCTTTCTGGACATGAGAGAGAGATGATATGAACTAGACGAGGGAACATAAGGGACCCATGTTCATAGATTTTGCTGGAAGTAAAACTGGCGCACTAAAAGAGAAAACGGTGTATGTAAGTCCCTCCACGGCCCCAGACTACTGATGATAGCACTCAAGGGGTTAGGGAGTCACTGCAACCGTCGAGTAATAACTGACACCGCGGAGTTATCCCTTTCTCCCCTAAAACACATGTAAGTAAGTGCATAAACAGGTAAGCGCATAACGCCGTAAGTGCATAAACAGGTAAGCGCATATACGCCGTAAGTGCATATACAGGTACACACACACAACAGAGGCACACGACGCCATCTTCCTGTCCCAGACACCTACGATGCCTCCCCCCCCCCCACGCTAACCTTGCTAGTATTGAGGAAATATTTATTGAGTGTTGGAGGAAGTGAGAGGCGACACATGCACACGCTGCTCTCTGGTACTTCCTGTGGCCCAGTACCCTCCACCAGGACCCTCCTGTGGCCCAGGACCCTCCACCAGGACCCTCCTGTGGCCCAGTACCCTCCACTAGGACCCTCCTGTGGCCCAGTACCCTCCACCAGGACCCTCCTGTGGCCCAGTACTCTAAACCAGGACCCTCCTGTGGCCCAGTACCCTCCACCAGGACCCTCCTGTGGCCCAGTACCCTCCACCAGGACCCTCCTGTGGCCCAGTACCCTCCACCATGACCCTCCTGTGGTCCACTACCCTCCACCATGACCCTCCTGTGGCCCACTACCCTCCACCATGACCCTCCTGTGGCCCACTACCCTCCACCATGACCCTCCTGTGGCCCACTACCCTCCACCACGAGCCTGCGGCACCCAGCACCCTCCAGCAGGAACCTGCGGCACCCAGCACCCTCCGCCAGGAACCTGCGGCACCCAGCACTCTCCAGCAGGAGACTGCGGCATCCAGCACCCTCCACCAGGAACCTGCGGCACCCAGCACCCTCCACCAGGAACCTGCGGCACCCAGCACTCTCCAGCAGGAGACTGCGGCACCCAGCACCCTCCAGCAGGAGACTGCGGCACCCAGCACCCTCCAGCAGGAGACTGCGGCACCCAGCACCCTCCAGCAGGAGACTGCGGCACCCAGCACCCTCCAGCAGGAGACTGCGGCACCCAGCACCCTCCAGCAGGTGGACACACCTCGCACTACCATACACATTAGAGCTAGAGAGTTCTACAGAGGAACAGAAGCAGTAGGGACAGATGGACCACAAGGACGCCCAGCCTTGTAACATGGTAAAAACCAGGTACATGTAGATCATGTTGCTGCCTGACCTTCCGAGAGCAACTCTCGTGTCGATATGGTGCGTGGGTTGCTGTACTCGGTCATCAATTAGTATGTAACGTGATACATTAACTGGCAGTTTGACGTTACTTAACTGGCAGTTTGACGTTACTAATCATTAATGATGGACCTTGTAATGCAGCCTTCACCACCCCCCACCCCCAAGACCCCCCTTCCAGGAGGGGGGGGGGGGGGTTAGGGTGTGGGGTGGAGGCAGGTGGAGCAACTGTTTAGTTTTTGTGAGTGTCAGAACCAAGGCGAACTATTTGCTCTCTTTCTCTCTCTCTCTCTCTCTCTCTCTCTCTCTCTCTCTCTCTCTCTCTCTCTCTCTCTCTCTCTCTCTCTCTCTCTCTCTCTCTCTCTCTCTCTCTCTCTCTTGCCTGTACCATCACTAGGGAAGCTCTAGCTACCACACCATACAGAACCACCACCGCTACAGCCACCAGTCGGCTGTAGCGGTGGTGGCTAGCACCCAGCACGATGTAACGTTGTAACGATGATGGTAGCATCATCGTTACAATCACCACTAAGAAATATTAGCAATTATATACGACCCTGGGATATTTTCAGAGTCAAGTGTGAACTATGGGGTGTGATTAACGTGGAGTTTTAGTGTTATAATAATACAATGCTGGCTACAGGTGACGGATCTCCCAATCCTGAGCACTCCAGGTGCAAACTCTGTGAGCAGGAACTGCGGCATGATCTCCCGCACTACATCACTGAATGTCCAGTTATCGGACCATTCAGACCCGTTGGCATGAGGTACCTGGAGCTTTGAAATTTATTCACTCTCGTCTTCTTGAAGATATCCTCATAGTGCATCCAAACTTTGCTAGTGCAGACTACTGAAGACATGGCCCTGTGTGACTACTGAAGACCTGGCCCTGTATGACTACTGAAGACCTGGCCCTGTATGACTACTGAAGACATGGCCCTGTATGACTACTGAAGACCTGGCCCTGTATGACTACTGAAGACCTGGCCCTGTGTGACTACTGAAGACATGGCCCTGTATGACTACTGAAGACATGGCCCTGTGTGACTACTGAAGACATGGCCCTGTGTGACTACTGAAGACATGGCCCTGTGTGACTACTGAAGACATGGCCCTGTATGACTACTGAAGACATGGCCCTGTATGACTACTGAAGACCTGGCCCTGTGTGACTACTGAAGACATGGCCCTGTATGACTACTGAAGACCTGGCCCTGTGTGACTACTGAAGACATGGCCCTGTATGACTACTGAAGACCTGGCCCTGTATGACTACTGAAGACCTGGCCCTGTGTGACTACTGAAGACCTGGCCCTGTGTGACTACTGAAGACCTGGCCCTGTGTGACTACTGAAGACATGGCCCTGTATGACTACTGAAGACCTGGCCCTGTATGACTACTGAAGACATGGCCCTGTATGACTACTGAAGACATGGCCCTGTGTGACTACTGAAGACATGGCCCTGTGTGACTACTGAAGACATGGCCCTGTGTGACTACTGAAGACCTGGCCCTGTATAACTACTGAAGACATGGCCCTGTGTGACTACTGAAGACATGGCCCTGTGTGACTACTGAAGACATGGCCCTGTATGACTACTGAAGACCTGGCCCTGTATGACTACTGAAGACCTGGCCCTGTGTGACTACTGAAGACCTGGCCCTGTGTGACTACTGAAGACATGGCCCTGTGTGACTACTGAAGACCTGGCCCTGTATGACTACTGAAGACATGGCCCTGTATGACTACTGAAGACATGGCCCTGTGTGACTACTGAAGACATGGCCCTGTATGACTAACCATCCTGAGTGATGGAGACCTTTAGCACCACGTAACACGCACACTGTACTCCCCGTCATACAGTCTAGGCCAGCTGCTGCACAAATGCAGATGTACCTAAATGTGTTAATAACAAAATAATATTAAAAATGCTGTTGTATTTGTGATCCGAAATAAACTTTTTGAGAGAAGAGGAAGCAAGGAGTGGGGGTGGGAGGAGTGGAGTTGGGGTTGTTATTACGGTGTACGGTGTCTTACAGTCCTCTCCCACCGTGAACGGTGACATACAGTAATCAACCACTGTAAACGGTGCCAGTCACTGTGAACGGTGCCAGTCACTGTGAACGGTGCCAGTCACTGTGAACGGAGACATACAGTCACCAACCACTGTGAACGGTGCCAGTCACTGTGAACGGTGACATACAGTCACCAACCACTGTGAACGGTGCCAGTCACTGTGAACGGTGACATACAGTCATTAACTATTGTGAACGGAGACAGTCACCAACCACTGTGAACGGTGACATAGTCACCAACCACTGTGAACGGTGACATTCAGTACTCTGGCACAATATGCTGATATATTACAAAATCAGCACCACACATTTCCTGCTTCCTTGTCGCCCCCCCCCCCCCACCCCGCCTCTCCTACCCTCTCCCCCCCCCCCCCCCACCGAGGCCCCTCCCCCTCCCCTGCCCTGACAATATCACCCTCTCTCTGTTTTTATAGACAGGAGGGTACAGGAAGAGACGACAGGTGACTCGTGTTAGCAGGCTGACTGAGAGCTGTCTCTTCCTACAGCTGGTGATAAGCCTTACCCCTACTAGTTGCACTGGTCGTCGGCCTGCAACCAGGTATGGTTGCAGGCCGCAACTCAAAATCATTGCGGCTTGCAAAATTAAGATGGTGTTCCGTTTTCTATTCGTAGGTCCTGGGTCAGGTTAGGTTTGGGCAATTTAGTATATTTTCTGGCGTTGTGAACGCTGGAGCGGCCGGGCGGGCTGCCACGTGTGTCACCTCCCACTTCCCTTTCCCACATGTATCCTATACCCTTCGGTTCTCTTTCCCCCCTTCAGTCCCTCCATCCCTTTCCCTTTTCTGACCCTCTCTCCCTCCCTCCATCTTGCCCTCTTTCTCTCCCTCCCCCTCCACCCTACTTCCCTTCCTCACACCCTCTGTCCCAATCTCCTTTCCGTCTCTGTCCCCACACACCCTCCCACATCTCTCCCTACCTCCTCCACCTTCTGTCCCTCCCTTCCCATATTTCCCTCTCACCTTCCGCCTGTCCCTCCCTCGTCATCTCTGCTTCAAACCCCACGTGAATGTAACAGCTCACCACACGCGAGGTAACGAAGATGGGGGGGGGAGGAGGGGGGGAAGGGGGAGAGAGAGAGAGAGAGAGAGAGGAGACGAGACCAGAAGACATCTCCACCATAAGGTCAACACAACTACAGGAATTACTGAGAAACATTTGTGACTGGATGTAGTTGCAACACACACACACCAGAGGCATCTTCCTCCGCCCCCTGCTAGTTCATTCCCCACCCTTCCCCCACCTCCCCATCCTCCCCCACTTCTACCTGCTGCTGCCTTTCTCTTTATTTATATGGGTGTAATGTGTGTGTGTGTAACCCTTTGAGCCCTGGGCTTGCCAGGTAGCCCCAGCCCGGACCACCAATACCCACAACAACAGCCCACCTTCTACCCTCTGAGCCTCGTCCCTAGCTCCCTAAAACTCTACCACCCGTTTCCTCTAAACTGTGAACCGAAGTACTGTGAGCCTTGTCCCTAGACCTCCGAGCTCACTGTCATGCTCTGAGAGCGCACGTCTTGGCCTCTCACCTGCTCCATGCTGCTCCGAGCTCTCGTATCTCAGCCCTCATCTCTCGCACCATAGTCCTGGCGTCGTAAATCTAGCCTCGAGTACCTTGTGTCTGGCTCCTAGCCTCGAGCCCCTTGTGTCCGGCTCCTAGCCTCGAGCACCCTGTGTCTGGCTCCTAGCCTCGAGCACCCTGTGTCTGGCTCCTAGCCTCGAGCCCCTTGTGTCCGGCTCCTAGCCTCGAGCACCCTGTGTCTGGCTCCTAGCCTCGAGCCCCTTGTGTCCGGCTCCTAGCCTCGAGCACCCTGTGTCTGGCTCCTAGCCTCGAGCACCCTGTGTCTGGCTCCTAGCCTCGAGCCCCTTGTGTCTGGCTCCTAGCCTCGAGCACCTTGTGTCCGGCTCCTAGCCTCGAGGACCCTGTGTCCGGCTCCTAGCCTCGAGCAACCTGTGTCCGGCTCCTAGCCTCGAGCACCTTGTGTCTGGCTCCTAGCCTCGAGCACCTTGTGTCCGGCTCCTAGCCTCGAGCACCTTGTGTCTGGCTCCTAGCCTCGAGCACCTTGTGTCTGGCTCCTAGCCTCGAGCACCTTGTGTCTGGCTCCTAGCCTCGAGCACCTTGTGTCTGGCTCCTAGCCTAACCAATCCCCCTTCCGAATTTAACCCTTTGAATCACGTCATTTAGAACCCTTTTCCCAAAATTCGGAATTTTGCTGCCAGGCCTGTAATTATAGACTGTAGAACTGCGATGGTGGCGGGGACCTCCTAGCCCGGTGGGTGGGTAGGTGTGACCCCAGCCTGTAGCCGCGTGATGGTAGGTGGTAGCCCTGTGACCCTAGCCTGTAGCCTCGTGATGGTAGGTGGTAGCCCTGTGACCCTAGCCTGTAGCCTCGTGATGGTAGGTGGTAGCCCTGTGACCCCAGCCTGTAGCCTCGTGATGGTAGGTGGTAGCTCTGTGACCCCAGCCTGTAGCCGCGTGATGGTAGGTGGTAGCCCTGTGACCCCAGCCTGTAGCCGCGTGATGGTAGGTGGTAGCCCTGTGACCCCAGCCTGTAGCCGCGTGATGGTAGGTGGTAGCTCTGTGACCCCAGCCTGTAGCCGCGTGATGGTAGGTGGTAGCCCTGTGACCCCAGCCTGTAGCCGCGTGATGGTAGGTGGTAGCCCTGTGACCCCAACCTGTAGCCGCGTGATGGTCGGTGGTAGCCCTGTGACCCCAGCCTGTAGCCTCGTGATGGTAGGTGGTAGCCCTGTCACCCCAGCCTGTAGCCTCGTGATGGTAGGTGGTAGCCCTGTCACCCCAGCCTGTAGCCTCGTGATGGTAGGTGGTAGCCCTGTGACCCCAGCCTGTAGCCTC